GGGCGGGCTGGGAGAGATGGCCATCCGTTCTCCCTAGGCTCTCCGATGCTACCTCGTGATTTCCTAGGGCTTCCAGGTTCCGGCAATCACGCTCAGCAAATCTTGGGAGCGACTCCATCCTTCCCTCCTGAAAGCCTGTATAAGCCACCATGGAAGACAATCAGCTTCCTGCCATCAAATACCACTCTGGCTGACGGAGGCAGGCCTCCTGGGAAGCCTCCTGTCCCAGGAGCCCGCCTGCCTGACCTCAAGGGGGGGCACGAGCAGCCAGGTCCCAGAGCATCAGCCTCCTTCTAAGAAAGAACTAGGTCCAACGATGTGAAAGCAGCGCCAAGCCCAAGGGAGTGCAGGTGCGGCCCCATCGGCCAAGGAAGTGCTCCATGCAACGGGGGCTTGGCTGTCCTCCTCAGGTGCCCAGCCAGCCTCCGCTATCTCACTGCTGCTTGGTCCGGCCGCCTTCTGCCATCCCGCCATTCTGGCGGACTCCCCTCTGCGGCTGGGCCTCACCCGCCCTCAGTCCCAGGGCTCGGTCTCACCTGCCCGGTCCCTGGAGTTCCCGGCCCTCAGGGGCCACCTTCTTGCAGCATTTCCCACTCTGCTAACAGCAATTCTTCGCTTTCCTCGCCTTCACCGGCTCGCCTCCCTCACTGTCCTCGCCCCTCGTTTTGCAAGCCCCATGTCTTCACCCAGAAAAGCTTCACTATGATCGGAAGCTGAAGCCACACTGGCAGGAGGTGTGTGAGTAACCTACGGGGAGCCCTGTGCCATGAGTACCAAGTAGGGAGGGACCCCGATTCAGCAGCCGCCCCCCTTCCTTCCAAACCCTCCTCGCTCCCTGCCCAGCCTCCACGGCTCTGCCCGTTGGGCTCTCCGAAGAGGTTTCTTTGCAGGGCAGAGAGACGGGTAGCCGCAAGGAGCATGCCCCCCCCCAGTTCCGCCTGTGCTGGTAACCCACCATTCTTCACAAAGCCTCCAGGATGCCAGGAAGGCTCGGTGTTCCTGAACTGGCTGTTCCTGGGGGGGGGGGAATCAGGGGGGCAACGAACCCTTCTTGATGAGTCTGCAGTGTCAAGAGTCCAGCTCAGCCCTGACATGGGAGACAGCAGGTGGAAGACTTAGAGCGGCTGGAAGGGCCCTCCTGTCAGCTTCACAGACAGCTCCAGGAACTTACACTCTTAATGTTTTTTAAATCAGCCAATTTCCCAGATCAGCTAAT